ATGGGAATCTCAAGGACAGAGGTGGGCCCAGAGTTCTTAGGGACCTTTGGAAGATGGGGAGAGAAAGCATCCAAGAAAAGCTTCCTGAAGATGTCTTCTTGGTGTGTAATTAATATCTACCATGTGTCAGGGGAGAAAACTTGGCCTCTGTCTCCTAGGAACTTGCCTTTTAGCTGGGGAGACAAAACCTGGACAGGATCCCCATTACAAGGCAGTGTGTGTTAAAGGTGCCAACTTGCCCACTTGAGATGGAGCAGGTGTTGGTAGTTCACTGCACCAGAGGAGGAAGAGTCCGTTGGCCTGGGATCATTGTTGTGTCCCCCACAGCTGGCATCCCAGGGCTGCCTGATAAGTAGCTATGGAAGGAAGTCAGACTGCAGAGTTACCGTTACTAAAAAAAAAACAACCTTGGTTTCAGAATCAGAGGACCTCTGATCTGGACTTGCCAGTTCTGGGAGAATCTCTGAATTTCCTTGAACCCCAGAGGTCTCTCATTTCTCACAGTCCGCCTCCCAAGGATGACTCCCAGGGACACATAGGAGAAGGTACCTAAAAAGGTCACTCTCTGAATGAGGCAACATCATCACACAGATGACCAGCATGACTCTCACGAATCACAGACATAATTATCACTTTATCTGAAGAATAGCACAAGCCCATGGCCACCAGTTTAAACAAGAAACTGTAGCTCTTAAGGGTTTAGTGGTTTGCTAGGACACGTTAAAAAAGAAATAAAAACAAGGGAGCACAGAAGCTGGGACATGAACTTGAGTCAGATGATGCCAAGGTCTAAGCTGTTTCTTCACTTCGGAATATTATTACAGGGGTAGATTCTAGTGGGGTCTTGGAAGGGAAGCAGCTCCTCCAAGGCTAGAGAGGATTTGCTCATGTGTCAATTCCTACAGATTAAGAACCTTGGTAAACTCCTTTTGGTATCTGGCTAAGGCAAGCACTAAGCCTATGTTTATTAAAAAATATTGGGGATTTTTGCTATATGAAAATCTTCGCCCCATAACACACTTTCTAAGATAGCTCAAGGTGCAAGCAAAAAGCGGCCTAGATAGGAGAGGCTATTTTACTGTAAACTGCTAATCTCACCGCTGTTAGAGTCATTAAGCCTTTGCAAAGGCAGGGCTAGGAACCATTGCTTTGTGGATTTGGAAGGAATTCCTATTATGCTATAATTCCAAAACCTGAGATACATCTGAAAAACTGGTCAAAATGACCAGGTTTTTCCATAAGTTCTGCCACAGAAAGGTGCCTGCTTTCTCTATAACTTTTGATGATTTGCATCTCTAAGCCGCCCTGCTCTCCTTCACCTTCACTCCATTTCTTTGTTGTGGGGACTGTCCAAACTGGACCAAGGGCTTCTCTTGCCATTTCAAAGGAACCTGAAATTCAGCAGAAAAAAACCCTGAAATTCAGCAGAAGAAAGCCCAGGGAAGCCAGTAGCAAATGGATACAATTTCCAGCTCTGTCACCTGCTGATTCTGGGTGAAGGCAGCCAGGCTCTTCACGGCAGCCAGTCCAGATGGGAAAATGGGAGATATGGTGATGTTGTGATTGGCAAAGTGCAGAGCATCTACACATTGAGCAACCAGTGAGGTATTCAGAGACCAAGAGAGGTCTCTGTTTTATGTTTTCCCATGAAGCAGTACTCGTGGTCTGCTCAGTAGCTATGGCAGGTGAGCAGACTAATCAACCTCAGTAGCACACGCCCCTAGCTGTCATTGCATTTCAGTAAAAGTTCTACAGCAAAGGAAACTAAGAGGCTTTGGATGTCAGGGGAGAGAATAACACCCATATAGCCAGGGGCTGGGTTTCTTCCTGACTTTATTCTTGTCAGATACAGTCATGGCTAAGTTGACTCAATTTTTTTTTTTTTGACTCTTCATGTTGATTTGTAACGAAAAGAATCAATATTTATTGTATCAGGAGCTGAGTTAGTTGATATATGTATGCTCTAACAAGTAGACATACTCTCTCCATTTAACTGATGAGACTACTGAGGCTCAATGAACGAGACTCAGTCAATAGCAGACGAGCTCAGAGCAGATGACTCTTATCTGAAACTAACCCTAGACAGTAAGAATAATGAGTTCTTGGGAATTTTCATTTCGGTGAACATGGTCTACAAAATTTCCAGGCCTACAACTCAAAGACTGCAAGATTGTGGTATATTTTTGTGACTGGATTCCCTGAATTAGTAAGGCTGCAGCTAAACCTATTTTGCTGACCTTGTATGGGTGGAAAAAAGCAACATGGTTCCTTAACCAGCCCCACGACTGTTTCAAGAAAACCTCAGCATTCAGGGAGCATTTTAATTAAAACATCAACATGACATGCAGAAAGAGGTGGGAACTAAGCTCTTGAGAACAACAGATTTGCTGGCACCTCTGTAGGGGACACATACTGGCCTGGATAGGCAGCCGGGCAGAGCTGTTGAACCCTGAGTGCACCTGATGGAAGGAAGGATTAGGAGAAAAGCACAGCTCTCAAAGGAACCCCTGTAACATTTCCTTTGCTCATCCCGGTGCCAAAGGAGAGACCCAGAACCACTCCTGTCATTAAGATCTGCTTGTTCTATGTAGCTCACTGCTGCAGCCTGTGTTTCCACACCTCACTTACTTTGATCCCTACAAACCATGTCCTTGTGGGATGGTTAACACCGTTCCCATTTCACAAATGAAATAAGTGAGGATTACAGAGACCAACAATTCACCAAATTCACTTTGAGAATGGTGCTTAATCCACCAGGCTGTACCTGGAGGCTGTCAGGCAAGCCAGGAATAATGCCATGTGGAGAGAGAGCAGAGGATGGCCAACTTGTCCCCAGGCTCTTCTCCCCTTACTGTACTCCTAGGTTAAATTGTGCTCCTTCATGTATTCAACTAAGGGATCTTCTGGCTGCCAAAAACACCTGTCCAAACCTTAGCACAAGATACTGTGCAATTATTTGCCTCCCACAACAAATGCCTTTGTTAGAAAAAAACATTTTTCCTAGAGAACTCAATCCTGTAACTCTCAATTTTGAGCAAATAGTAAAATTAGACTTCACTTTTCAGTTTTTTTTTCCCCACACAAAGTTCTTTAGTCCACCTTTAAGAACGACAGTTGCCAAATGAACTGTTTTTCTTTAAAAGGTTGGAAAGAATTCTACTACCTCTCCTTCTAGCTCCCCAAATTCAAACTGTTGACTGTGTGCCTGGTTTACGATGTTATTAAAAAACAAAGAGGGTCTCAAAGTTTATAAGTAACCCCCAGAGCGAGCAAGTCAGGAAAAAAAGAAAAAAAATAGCTACATGCAGTGTGGTTCACATACTTTCAGCTAAGATGTGGCCCAGAGTAGGGAAGATAAGCTAACTGCCTATCCCCTTGAGCAATTCATCTGGATAGGTTAGTCATCCTGAAACATAAGGCTGCAAGATGAAAAGGGGGTTTTGAAATAAACCAGGCATAGGCTTGATCCCCAGTTTTTATGAGCTGTACACTCTGAGCATGTCAGTTATTCCCCTTGTGTTTTAGATTTTTCCATCTATATAATAAGGATAATAGTGCACATCTCATGTTTAGTATTTTTGTTTGTTTGGTTTTTCTTAGTACTGGAGTTTAAACTCAGTACCTCTTATAAGAACTCTACCACTTAGACCACATCTCTAGCCCTTTTGGTTTTAGTTATTTTCTTAGAAAAAGGTCCTGTGATTTTTACTTTTGTGCTAGCCTCAGACCTCAATCCTTCTACTTATACTCTTCTACCTATACTGATTTGTTCTTTGAGATAGGGTTTGCTAACTTTTTTCTTAGGCTAGTCTTGAACCATGATTTTCCTGTCTATGCCTCTCAAATAACTGGGATTCCAGGTAGGAGCCTGGCCATATCTAGTGTTCTTAATATTAACTGCCTTACTCCTAATGCAGGCTAAAGAGAAATGTCCAGGCACTGCTCTACAGAAAGGCAATCTACACATCTACAAGGGAGAATTTTCTAAGTTTGTTCTCTGCCCTTTCACCCACATGGCAGGGGTTTAAGGGCAGTGAACAAACTTAGAAAATACTGTAGGGCTAGAAAGGACAGCTGTGAAAACGGAAGGCTCATAAGTGACCAGTTCAGCTTTCAACTACCCACCCCTCTTGTGCCTCAAATAGATACACTAAAAGAGGGTGGTGACCTTCCACAGAAGACCCAGGTAGGCCACACCCAAATTCTCAATAGGCTTCCATGGCTCAGAATAATTCTGAACATCGAAGTCCACAGAACAGGCTTGCAATATCCTCAGTGAGGGCTGAACCCTGTGAAGGGAAGCCCTGGGCATTTCAATCTGGACTTTTATACCTGCATGTGAGTGGTTTGCTGAGCAATTAAGAGTTTTGCATATTTCAATATTCATGAGCCTTTTGCATTTTATTACAACACTGTGAAGTAAGACAGGCATGTGTCAAAGACCTGTGGAGGGGCAGGTCTAGAACCCATTTCTCTGGATTCCAAGTCTCATTTCCTTTGCCACCACAGCCACTGGGCACAGCACAATATGCCATAGGACATTAGTGGCATGGTTATTGTCATTGAAGCTCAGCCAAGGACTGGCAAAAACACAGATAATACCTGGAAGAGCTAACAACGTATTTCTCATGTTGGGGGCTCAACTTTATAGCACAGTAGAGGTTCAGATCTCAACTCTACAACTTGTTAACTAAGTGATCTTAGGCAAAAAATAGTCTTACCCTATGGACCTTGTTTCTTAAATTCTAGAAGAAAGAGAGGAACAATATTTAGACTTCAGTGGATTGTTGTGAGGATATTTGAGAAGAGCACTGCTTATCTGTAAGTAAATGGTTTTAATCAATAATGTCTGATCCATTTCTACTCGGGACAAGCCTGCTGCTTTGTTGGTTTCTGCTTGGAGTAATTACTGGCCACTTGGTACCACTCTCTGCTGGCTGAGATTTCAGAACACAGAAGGGAATCAGATAGGATCAGTCTGGCAGCTCTCAGACACTTACGGCAAGAATGGCGATGACAATGCCCACGGCGCAGAGCACGGCGTCATTTATGGTCTCATTGACTTTCAGAGGGTACTTGATGCTCTCGTCATTGCAGTAAAACCCTCGGCGGTAAGGCTTGATGGTGCTGGTCTCAATGATGAGGAAGGGCAGGGCCGCTGGAACCAGGGGAAGAGGAAACAGGAAAACGTCAATGCAAGGAAGCTAGGGAAGGAAAGCCTACAGCAAAGACCACCCCAAATAACACTGACAGTCAGAGGAATTCCTTCCATTTGTAGTCACCTACAGCCTTTACTGCTGGCATCGCCATTCCATCCTGCCATGGCCTGGGCGGAGAGTGGTATCATGCTTTATTCTTGCCCAGGAGGTAAGAGGAAGGGAAAAATGAAAATCCAGTAACTGTCATAGTTTGGAATACTGACTCGTATGGCCCCTTATATCTTCAAAGACGCTCATTTGTTTGTTTGTTTGGTTGGTTTTTTTTTTGGGTCTGGTCATGGGGCCTGAACTCTGGGCCTGGGCGCTGTCCCTCAGCTCTTCAGCTCAAGGCTAGCGCTCTACCACTTGAGCCACAGCGCCACTTCCGGCTTTTTTCTTTTTGCTTATGTGGTGCTGAGGAATTGAACCCATGGCCTCAGGCATGCAAGGCAAGCCCTCTACCACTGAGCCACCTTCCCAGCCCAAAGACACTCATTTGTTAGGTCCTAAGCATTTCTCTGGGAGAAGCCCATCTTTGGGCCAGGCTGCGTGGAGTAGAGTAGGGCAGGCCTTCAGTCAGATAACCAGAGTAGAATCCTGGATCCACCACTTCCTAGTGGCATGATCCCTTTTCTCAGTTCATCTCCGTGATCCTCTTTCCCTATAGTAAAATCAGTTGTGGCACTTAGTTACTAGATGAATGCATATAAGACACCCAGTGCAGTACCACTTTCACTGATCAGTCATGGACAAGACTGAGCAGAACCAAGCTGAGCCCTGTGGCCTGCAGACCTGGCTGGGAGCCCAAGGGCAGAGGGAGCACCAGGCAGCCTGTTCAGCTGCAGCTGGTGATCAGTGGCCCAGCCAGCTCAGATGCCATTCTCCCGAAAGGCCTAATGGCTAATGGATTTCATTGCCTGCCCAGATGTCCCTCTGAACCATAAAGCAAAAAAAGGCACATGCCCAGACACTTCGATAAAAACCTCCTAATAGGTTTCTTAGTCTCCAAGGCCTCTTGCATATATCCACCAGTTTACTTCCTGAAGGATGAGCTTGCTACTGCTTTGCTAAGGAGCCTTCAACAGCTCCCCATTACCCAGGGAAAGATGAGGTCTCTAAGGCTGATTGCAGAAGCTCACTGGACCTGAACCTCTCCTCTACAGCTTGCTGCAAGCCCTGTTTACCTCCCTCTGCACCCCCTCTCCCCCACTGCAGTCTCTGCCCTCAAGAAATCTGGTTCAGGCTATTCCCTAACCTGCTTGCTTCCCTAATATTTAAGGTCAACAACAGGCTCCAATGATGCCACTTGATATTTTACTAAATCTCAAGAACAGGAAAGATCTGAAAATTGGTGAACCAACAAAGTGTTAAAATTTTTATCCATGTTTTTTTTTGCATTGAGTCTTGAAATAATCCTTGGAGGTCGTTTGAAAGGCTCATTCAAGCCCTCTCCTATCTTTAAGAGAAAAAGAACAGAGACTTAGAATGTTTTACTCATTTCAGGGCTTTTTAGTTTTCTCTCCATGAAAGTACCTAAATCTCTCATTTCACTTTTGAAATTGGTTTCCAACAAATATGAAATTCATTAGCTTGTGTGTGTGTGGGGGGGGGGGGAGGGAACCAAGATAAGTGCTTCCATAAAAGATAAAATTCCATTTTCATGTTTTTTGAAAAGAATTAAATTCATGTCACGTTGCTCAAAACCCCAGACTGCCTCTTAAAAAAAAAAAATGTACCATGAACTCCACAATTTTTCAATTACTTTGGTCCAGACCAGCAGCGATAAAAATGCTCACTTTCTAAAAAGTGTATTTATCTATCACTGTTCCTACGCACATGGATTTATTTGGTTTTATTCTTTGGATTTATTTGAATTCTACGGCTATTTATTTTGTGACCCCCTAACTGCTTCCTGCTAGAACAACAATTTACTTTATCAAATTCATACTGGTGCTTTGAAAAGAAAGAACAGCAACACACCACAGCATTGTGCCTGACCTTCTCAAAGTAAACACAGAGGGGACCTAAAAGGCAATAACCACTGGCTTTTGAAACTCTGCCCCCACCATTGGAGTAGAGGGGGCAGGGAAGCCATGAATCAGGGTTCTGCTTTGAAGGGACAGAAGTCTGGTGATCTTTGAGGTTAGGGGCCTAGAAGAGACATCCTCTGGGCCAAAATCATCTTCAATTTCACAGCCTAAACATTTCAAAATGCAACCAAGTTGGCTATGAAAAGTATAAGAGAAGCCAAACTCTATGATATTAATAGTCTGCTTTTAAAGTTCCATGAATTGTGATAAAAAAAAATTGTTGAGCTTTGAGTCGGAGCTGGGCTGTAGTCTCTGAGGTACTGGGGGCCAATGGGTGGCTAATAAACTCAGGAGAGGAACAGACTTTGGGTGCCTGACATTTGTGTAACACTCAGGCCTCCGGCTTCTATATTTAATAGTGTTCACAGGATAGGCCTGTAAAACATATGTTTCTAAGGACAATAAAATACATATAAAAGAGCTTTAGAGTTAGAACTTGGCTAATGATCTCAGTTCTGCTCCACAACGATTTGACTTAACTCATTTCACATCTCCCCAAGATTCCTTTCTTATCTTTCTGTGAGAAGAGGCCTAATTTCAGTATTGTTGGGATGATCTAAGACTTTGGTATACTTATTCATTTGTTTATTCAACAAACATTATTCACTCTTTAATACATTCTTCTAAGTACAAGCAAACAAAGATGACCCAAGCCTTGCTCTCAAGGAGCTTATAATCCAGTTCAGGAAGGCTCAAATCGTCCATCAGTGTCTGAAGCTTGGAAGAAATTCAAGGAAGCATCACTGGGCAAAAAGAGGCTAAGAGACACTGTGGATACTCACTAAATGTTCTGAGGGAAGAGAAAAAGGTCCCACAGTGATGGCTTAGGAAAGAAAATCTGTCTGGCCAGTTCTGTGCCCTCTTGAAACTGGGAATGATCCAAATCCTTTTTCTTCTTTCTTTGCCTATGACTTGGGGAGAGTTTCCGATTCTGATTATGTGGCTGATGACCACAAACAGACAAGAAATTGAATCTGAACACTCTTGTTTATTTTCTTGAAAGGCATGTAGATAGCATTTAGAAACCCAATGGCTTTTTCTGTCTTCCCTACTAACTTGTGGTATTATTAGGGGTGGGGGAGGGGGTAGGATGGGTGCCAGTCAAATTTTGACTTTGCTCCAGGGAGAGTCTAACCTCAGATTTCCCTCCCGCCATAAAAATTCACAAACATTACCCTAACTGGGCAGCTCAAGAAACAAAGGACCTTGCTTTTCGTCTGCACAGCACAGAGAAAAAAGATCCAAAGCAGGATCTCCATTTTATAGATCCATCTTACATACCATCCTACACATTTACTATTTTCTCGCTAGAAAACTAGCAACAGACAGATGCTACAGGCAAAGACATCATAACCCCAGCCTTGAAGATCACAGAGTTGTGCAGATGTCGCAGCACGGGTACACTGAAATGTCACTCCTGTGATAACAGACATTTGTGCAGAGGGTAATGAAAGCAGACAACTCTTCCAGGGACACTAAAGGTAGCCCATGGGGGGAGGGGATAGAAGGCTTGGATTGAACTTTCCATGAATAAGGGAAGTTTCTGGGACCCACAGACTATATACCTCTATGAAAAAAAAAATCATTTCCGTTTAAGGGTTTCAGTACTAGTGGTCACAAAGCTGACATCTATTATAGAAATGAATGTTAAATTTTGCTACAATGACAGAAGAGATAGCCAAGCAATGAATGGCAAAAAGGGTACAACAACACAAAGACTAACAGCTAGCATTTACTAAACAACTATTATGTACCCAAATTGTGTCAAGATCTCTAAACTATTATGATCCATCCAATAACCTGGCTACCTACTATGTTCTAGGCATTGACTGGGAGGGATACTGACATGAAAAAGACTAAGTCCTATCTCTTAATGCTCATAGAGAAAAAGTCATAAGAACTAATGTTAGCCGGCCAGACAGTGGCTCATGCCTATAATCCTAGCTACTCAGGAAAAAGATTTGAGGATTGTGGTTCAAAGCCAGTCCAAGCATTGAAGTTCCTGAGACTCCTATCTCCAATTAACTACCAGAAAACCCAAAGTGGTGCAGTGTGGCTTAAAGGAGTAGAGTGCTAGCCTTGAATGAAAAGCTCAGAGACAGCACCCAGCTCCAAGTTCAAGCCCCACAACTACCACCACTACCAACAACAAAGACTAATATGTTAAGCCATGCTTTGGTTCAAAGGGATTAAAGTAACTTTCTAGAGTCACTATGCAAGTAAACGGTGGGTTTGGATGAGGTTCAAATAACCTGACACTTAAAGCTTGGGTGTTTTCTAAAATGAATCACTTGACAGAGAGAATGAAGCACCTAGGAGAATTATTAAATTATTGGAAGCTCAGTAAGTCCATGGACTCCTCAGGGCAGGGGTGGGGGGGGAATCCTTTTGGAACAGTCAAGGCCACTAATGTTCACCAAACATTCACCATGTACCACACACATGCTAATTAGATACACACGTATCTAATTTAATCAAAACTCTGAAACCAATATCCTGGAATTTAGATTTATTGATAATAAAATATGCATTACAAGCTTTTGGCAACACATAGCCAAGAATAAAGTAGTGATTCTAGTACAGACTTAAGCATTTCTCCTCCTTTTAATCAAGGATCAATTAACTTCCTAAACCTCTAGGGACCTCTTGGGATGTATAAATGGCTACAGAGGAGGCGAAACACGAACTCACTGACAAACACTTAATGGGCAAAAAATGAAAGCAAGAAGAAAGGCCCCTGTGTTGGGTTCAGCCCTTTGAAACTTCACTGGCTTTGAAAAACTAACAGTTAGGCAGGTTGGGTGGTTTGGGGGTGGGGTGTAAAAAAACACAGGATAAGTTTTCGTGGCCCACCCATTGATCAAATCATG